AAAACCCTTAGGTAGTTCCATATACACTTCTTCATGTAAATCACCATGGAGAAAAGCATTATTTATATCAAGTTGATGTAAAAACTAATTTTTGGCAGCAGCTATAGATAGCAATAAACGCAGCGTAGTCATCTTAGCAACAGGACTAAAAGTATCAAAGTAATCAACCCCTTCTGTTTGGGTGTAGCCCTTTGCTACTAGACGGGCTTTATATCTTTCTATTTCACCATTTGCCTTAAACTTGGTCTTATACACCCATTTACAGCCAACAGTTCTCTTACCAGGTGGTAATGTAGTGAGTACCCAGGTGTGATTCTGCTCAAGTGCATGGATTTCTGCATTCATAGCATCCCTCCAGTGTGAATGTGTAACAGCTTGCTTGTATGTTTTAGGATCAGGGACAGAAGTAATATTCAGGACAAAGTTTTTATAACTAGAAGAAAGAGATGAATGAGATAGAACAGATGAAAGAGGATACCTAGGAGCTCCTTTGCTGGATGATTGGTTAGTAGTAGAAACAAGGGCATAATGATATTCTTGCAGATATGAAGGAGGCTTGTGTGATCTGGTGGAACGACGAAGGTTGTGATCTGGTGAAACAGGATTGGTATGTGAAAGGGGAGAGCTAGTGGGAGATGTAGAAGTAATAACAAGAGGAGAAGGTTCTGGGTCTGGTATGGGAACTTCTGAAACAATGTTTGGTTCAGAATCAATGATGGGTTCAGAGATAGTGGAAGGTTCATGAGTAGTGGAGAAGGGAATATCATCTAGAAATGAAGGAAAAGACTGAATAGTGGGTTCTGTATTTGTGGTGATGGAAGGGAGTAAATTGGTTTTAAAAGGAAATTCAAATTCATAAAATATAACATCTCGAGATAGAAAAATCTGATTTGTGTGGAGATCTAAGACAATATAGGCTTTAGAACCAGAAGGATATCCAAGGAAAACACACTTTTTAGCTCTAGGATCAAATTTGGACCTGTCATGTTGTAAAGTAGATGCAAAACAAAGGGAACCAAAAACTTTGAAATCACAATAAGAAGGCTTAGTATTGTATAATTTTTCAAAAGGTGTAAAATTCTTAATGATGGGAGATGGGAGTCGATTAATAATAAAAACAGCATGTAAAACAACAAAAGACCAATAAGCAATAGGTAAATTTGATTGAAATAGAAGTGCTCTAGAAACATTCAAAATGTGCTGATGTTTACGCTCAACAATACCATTTTGTTGGGGAGTTGCTACACAAGATTTTTGATGAATGATTCCTTTTGAAGCATAAAAATCAGGCATGGAAAACTCAAGTCCATTGTCAGTCCTTAAAGTCTTGACAGAAGTAGAAAATTGGTTTTCAATCAAAGCTAAAAAATTCTTGAGTTTAGTTCTGGTATCTGCTTTACTTTGCATTAGAAACAACCAAGTATAGCGGGAGTAATCATCTACAATGGTTAAAAAATATTTATGTCCTTGAACAGAGGGAATGGAGAAAGGACCCCAGATATCAACATGTATCAACTCAAAAATTTTATTACTGGAAGTATTGCTTACAGGAAATGAGAGCCTTTTTTGTTTGGCAAAATGACAAGTATCACATGTAATCGAATGAGGATTACAATTGAAACTAGAAAAATGTTTATTCAAAGTTGAAAAGGTGGAATTGGAGAGATGACCCAACCGTAAATGCCAAAGGGGAAAGTTTGAATCAGAAGCTGTGGATGATATATTGATATGAGATTTATGGGTTGATGGTAACATATCTGCATTTAAAATGTATAGCCCTTCGAAGACTTTAGCTGAACCAATCATCTGCAAAGGTTGGAGTAAGTGTATCTGACAAGAATGGGAATAGAAGGTTAGAAAACAATGTAGAGATAGAGTAATTTGGGAAACAGAGATAATATTGAATGTGAAATCAGGAAGATACAAAACGTTAGTCAAGATTAAAGTGGAGGAAAGAATGACTGTCCCTGAGAACGAAGCAATTGAGTGGGAACCAGTAGGCAAACTAACAGAAATTGGAGAAATGGACTGATAAGAAGAAAATAATTCCAGAGAACAGCAGACATGATCAGTTGCACCAGAATCAATGATCCAGGCAGACAAATTTTTAGAGGAGGCAGAAAGAATTTTACCTGAGACAGGGGATGAAGCGGAAGCAGAAAAATGATTAATGGAGGAAGTAGAGGCTTGAGGAGGATTGAGGAGAGTAAGCAGACGCTGGTACTGAGCAGCAGATAATTGTGGAAGAACAGTAGCTGTTGAAGAATTTGGAGGAAGAGACACAGCAGTAGAGATTTCTTGAGCAGAGGCAGAACCATGAGTACTTAATTGATGCACCGTGGTAGGAGAACCAGTTGAACGAAACTTGAAGCCGGGAGGAAATCCATGTTTGCGGTAGCAAGTATCTTCAGTGTGTCGCGGCTTACCACAATAGGTACATAGTTTATTGGTAGCTTGTTTAGAACCAGAGGAGGCAGGACGAGGAGCCTTTGCCAACAGAATCTTGGAATCAGGAACTATGTGAAGCTCTCGTTCTTGTTGAAGGACAAGGGAAAACACACGATTGAGAGAAGGGAGAGGATCAATGAGCATTATCTGTGACTTAACGGAAGAGAATTGCTCATTCAAGCCTTTTAAAAAACGAATAACCTGATCCTCTTCACGATGCTTGAGAGCACTTTCTGTAGAACCGCAATTACAGGCCTTGAGCGGACAGATGTTGAACAGTTCATCCCATAGAATTTTAAGACGAGTATAATACTCACTGACGCTCATATTGCCCTGTTTCAATGAATAGATTTCTTCCTGTAAATCAGCAACTCGAAAAAGATCCGATTGAGCGTAACGCGATTTCAAATCGCTCCAAATTTCAGAAGCTCTATCAAACCATAAGATGCTCCGGGCTATGGTTGGTGACAAGGATTTGACAATCCATCCTTGAACAAGATTATTACAACGCTCCCAAGCTAGATATAGTGAATCTTTGGCCGATGGAGGAGAGATGGAGCCATCTATGAATTTCAGTTTATTCTTTGAAAGTAACGCCATTTTCATCGATCTTGCCCAGCTGTGATAATTTGATCCATCTAGCGGTGGAGCAACAAGCACCAAAGCCGGATTCTCACTGGGATGTATGTAGTACGGGCTGTTTGGGTCAGTAACCAGGGAAGAAGATTCAGAAGACAGGGCCATGAAAACGATAGGATAGGATTCGGAAGAAAGAGGAAAGGAAGGTGGAAGAAAAAGACAAGAAAAAGAAGGGAAGAAAAGTCAAAGATAGACGGTGGAAAGAAAAAATCAAAAAGAGAATGGGGTGGCTCTGGATACCATGTGACTTGGAGAGAGAAAAGGAAAAGTGGAAGGAAAATGACTTGACTTTCATTAATGACATATAATGATATATATACAAATAGTTCGGATGTAACTGAATAACAAACTATACAACTTAACTTAACAGAATGTTAATCTCTATCTTATACTTGTCAGTTGTCATATACAAGTTTTCGGGGTTTGTGACATCAAACCTGTTATGTGCACAATTTAATTCATGGTTAATCAGGTGTTTAAATTAAAACATGGGTTATGTATACAAAGTTTCCATTCTTTAAGCGAATGAAGAATAGTTAAGGAACATACACGGCTTTGAAGAACACATAGGGGTTTGTAAAGTTCAGCCATTCTTATCGCCAATTGGACTTTTTTTTTTTTTTTAAACTGACACTGTACCAGTCATCGAAGATATGGAAAAACAACTTGTTCACTATATTTAACACCTTGAAGAATACCCCAAGTGCAAAAGGAAAAAAAATAGTAAATAATTGATATAAGTATTAGGGTACATTTTTATCCTGAAAACATTCTCAAAGGAACTTCAAGCACCCTAAAAAAATTATGGAGCAACGTAACATAAGTTTCCAAAATTAGTCACATTGGATCATCGTGTGGGCATATATATATATATATATAGCATACCTTTAGGGGTAACACGTATTGGATCATCACGCGGATCCAAAAATTCCACATATGTTATAAATATTCTAAATTTGGAGGTCACGATTGGCTCTCCATTTTTGTTGGTCAGTGGGTGTTTTGAGGGGGAAAAAATTCGAGAATTCACAAATATTTGAGATTCTGAGAGGATTTCTGGATGAAGAACAAACATGGTAGATGAAATTCTCTGAATAATCTTTATTAAAGGAATGGGTCACCATTGCTGCCACCATAACATTTGTCACCATGCCCACCGGTATCTACAAACAGTATATAATCCCCATTAAAGTTATAAATCTATTTTACTAGTTTAGATTTTTTTTTTATGAACTTTAGAATAGTATTTAAATTTAAAATAAGAAAAATAACATCTGATAACGGCAATGTTAGCCTAACTTACCACACCCAATATTGTCTTAGGATCGCTTGGAAAGTTTGATATTGTTCCTTTACCATAGCCACCAATCAGAGTGTCAACTGCCCTGCAACCCAGAGGGGGGGGGGGGAAGAAGCCATTGATAAGAATACAAGAGACTTGGAAGAAGACGATCGACATTATATATCCCAATTCAACCACTGCTATAATAGCAAAACCATAATAATAATAATAATAATAGTAATAGTAATAGTAATAGTAATAGTAATAGTAATAGTATACCTGAAACCTTCAATCCATCCGGGAAAGGGTTCTTTGATGGTAGTTGTTATTATGGAAGGACGGATGATGATTAAGGGCACACTGTCTTTATAAGTTGATAGAATCATCTCTCCCGTTGCCTTTGTGAATACGTAAGTGTTTGGCCATCCATAAAAGTTTGCTCTGTTACGTATTTATCAAATATGAATGATTATCATCATCATGAATATTTATTTTTATTAGACATAATTAATAACACATCATAATCAATTAGGAGCAGAATGAAACCTCTCAATTCCATAATCTCTCATTGCAGAAGTCAAGGCCTTTCCACCACCATTATCTACTTCAAGCTCATTCATTCTTTTCTCCATCATTTATTTTCTGATTCAATATCTAATTTTGAGTTCCCTTTTATTGTCTGACCCATCTTTAATGGTTCTTCTTTAATCACTTTCTCATTATAAGCTTCGCCGCACACATATGCTGAAAGATTTATATTACATAAGTTGGTTATATATATATATATATGAAAAAGATTAAAGATAACAAAAAATAGGCAAAATTATATATTTAGTTCTCTAACTTGATGCAAAGTTTCAGTTTTGTCACTTAATTTTATAAGGGGTAAAATAGCTCTAAGTATCCCGAACTTATTATTTCTCGTGTGGACCCAGCTCCTTAATCTTTTGGGTTAAGGTCTAAATTTGCTCTAAAAGTTTTTATTTAGAGTGCTGGGCACTATAATATTTTTTAGTTCAATGTTTTTCTGAAAGTTTAAAATCATAACAATTTTGCCCCCTACGGTTAAAAATGGTTAATGACCAATGTTACTTTTTTAATTTTAGGGGCTCAAACTATTATAATTTTGAATTTCTAGGGTAATATTGAACCCAAATAAATTTTTTGGTGCCTAGAATTTCTAAGTGAAAACTTTTAAGATAAATTTGCACCTTAATCCCAATCTTTTTAGTGAAGCAATTTCACCATCATCATCTAGATTTGGTGCAATCTCACCCTTTCTTTCTTTATTTAAAATTATCAATTTTCTTTTATTCATCTTAACAGTTGAAATTAACAATTTTAGTCCCTTTCATCAAATTATTAACAACTTTTATACAAAGTAACCAAATTATATCACATCTAAAAACTATGAAAATAGGTGAAATTGCACCATTAAAAGGATTAAAGTGTTAGGTGCATTTGAATGCATTTTTACCCTTTTATTTATTTCTTTTTTCAATCTTTGAATCTTAACGGTGTTAGTCTCAAATTATTATATATTATGTCAATCATTAATACTTTTGAAAATTAAGCTTAATATATAAGCATTTAAGAATGTTTTGTTAACATTTAAAATTTGAAATATTTCCTTCCAATTGGATCAGAGGGAGAGGAGGCTAAGAGAGTCTACATACCTGTGGACACATGGAGAAGAGCTTGTAAATTAGGACAGCCCTGTGCAAAGTTTAAAACATGTAAAGCACCCATTGTGTTGATTTTCATTGCAACATGAAATCTGTATTATATTAATTAGACATTTTAAATATTTGGCAAATCATTCTAAGCAAACTGATAAAGTCCATATCTTATAGTTATATAGGTAGAGATTTTAGATTATATTTGATTGCATTAATTAATATTTTAGATCTATTTAATTAATTGTTATTATATAATTTCCCTCTACACACAATTATACGGTAAAGGGAATTTTTCTAAAAAAGTTATGTGTGTGCTTTTTATTTTGTAGAAAAATAATAGAAGAAAGGAAAGGAAAAAATATTTCGGAAAAATAATTAATTAAAAAAGCAATAGAAGAACGCGCGACCTTGTGAAAGATAAAGAATATTAATTATAAATGGTCCAATTAAACGAGGCGTCGAATCACTATTAAGTACTCATATTCTTCCGGTCCTAAATATAAAACCCATTTCGTAATACAAAATTATAGTACAATTTGCACTACAAAATGGGTCTTTTATTTAGGATCGGAGAATATATTATCCAAGATAGTTGAAACCTGTAAAAGCTTGTATCATTATTTAATTAGTTATTTGGGTAGACAAGTAATTAAAAAAACGAAATTATTAGAATACCCACTAGAAAGAGTTGTTACTGTACCACTCTGATCCTTATTATGAGTTACTTAACTCATTTTCACATACTAATAATTGTATTAAATTAATGCAATTTTTCAAATTTGAGCCTATTAGATTTTCTCTTTCTGCACTTACAAATCATCATTCTCACCTGTCTCGCCTCTTTTTCATTTTCCAGTGAAAATTGAATCGGGATAAAATTAAAAAAAAATATCATTAATAACCTTACAAATAATTTATATTTGGAATTAAACTTTTTTGCTATAAGTGACTTATAATAGGGATGGGAATGGTGATTGCTTAATGATAACTTAGAAGATACAAATTAGAAATCATACCTATAAATCCTGCATTGCTTCAAGTGATTGTGTTCTCACCAAACCCACAAACCTAAATTCAAACTAACTTTATATTAAGGACTGGAGGAAGTGTCAATTTGGTGATCTTTCACAATTATTATCTTTCGTTGCTTACCTTTCATCAAACCTAGTAGTCGCAGCTGAACTCACTATGAAATCTATTTCTTCCTTAATTTTCCTTCCAATATTTCCATCATTAAGTCCCAAGTTCACAAGTGAGACATCACCAACAATGGCTTCCACCTTCTCTGACATGAAAGAATCAAAATCTGCACCCATCCTATCTCGAAGAACCGTGAACAAGTCCTTTCCCGTAATCTAGCCATATATATACAAAGACGGAAAAAAGCAAAGCATGTAATTAATTAGATATGTGTGTAATTTATAAAATGTTAAGAGTTAAGGAATTTATTTATGTACGTCATGGTGCAAACGCTGGGTAGCTGCATCAGAGTCAGAAGCTCTTAGAAGAAGATACAATTTCTTCAAACCAGGCTGAGTCCTTAATAACTTTTCCATAAAAACTGCAAAAGGAAATTAGGCGTTTTAATCAACAAAAGAAAGATATTGTTAGTGAATAATTCATTTTGCTGTTCAATTCTGACATTGTTACAAACGCCTCACAAAGTTTGCTAATTCATTTCGGAATTCCTGCGTGTACACATAGTAAGTGCTTGATGACAAGGTACAAATGGATAATATTAGTTTTATTTTTTCAAAACCATTTGGTATGTGTGTAATTTCCATTAATATACAACATAATTGAGTAGAGTAGAAATTAAGCCGCACTTTTTACAACCACTAATATTGCAATTTATTTCGGCCTTCCTGCGTACCCATAACCCACTTTAGTTTTATTCGAAAACAAAGAAAAACCTTTTGAAATATTAGTGAATAAAAAATTGTAGGAATTTTTTAACATTATTTTCTGTTTTCATGTTCTTAAAACAATTCTGTGGAGTAAACTTTTAAGATCAAATTTTGAAAATAAAATAACAACAAATATGTTTGAATCATTTTTTTTTTTGGACAAATGAATCATTAGTTTGGAAACCATACACAAACCAGTGAAATGAAGAAGGATGAAAGAATTATTTTCTATATTTAATTAATTTCCCTTGATAAAAGCATAATGTTTCTCTGCGTATTCTCTAATTTTGTAGAAGAAAATGTTACAAAATATGAAAAAGATGCTCTGTTTTTTTTAATAATAACTTTAATTTTTTTTTTTCAAAATGAAAAACCGTTCTCAAGAAATCACACAAGTCCTTATTTTATTCTTGGTCTATTATTGTTATACATTGCATGAAGGGCCAGAAAGATCTGAACAAAGAGTTGGTCTAACTGTATAAGACCCCACTATATCCCTTTGGATCTTAAGTTTGAGTCCCAAAAGAGACAACTTTGTAGAGAGAAGAAGCCACAATCCCCAAACTGAATTAATCTGTTGCTCAAATTAAAAGAACGTGTCCACCTCCAATTACAAAAACAACAAGCTGCCTTATCCCACAACGTGGGAGTGGTTATATGGATCCATGACACTATCGTACTGTGTCAACAGCAAAATTTCTGAATAGATTGATATGAATTTATCAGGGAGAATGACAGAAAAATACTTAGGGTGTGTTTGAATTGGCAGTATCAAAACTGACTTTTACTCTAATTGACTTTTGTAAACTAAAGTTAAAATAAAAATCAGTTAGTATAATGTGATTTATGTTTGGATTGGTGCTTATAAAAAGTCAGTTAAAAAAGATAAATCTTGTTTGGATGATAAATAGAAAAGTGAGTTTAGTTGCAAAATAACTGAAACGGATATGAACTTTATTAAATAATAGTATTTGATATTATATGTTTTTAATATGATAATAGTTAAAAAAAATATCTAAAGTTATTATAATAAAATAACATAGTTTTTTTGTGAAATTATAAAATAAAAATATTTGTTACTGAGAAAATTTGAAAACACATTGTAGATAAGTAAATATATATAATGGACAAACATGAATAGAGATTAAAATTTATTTGGTCTCTAATTAAAGTAAATGAAATCACATAATTAATTGTAATAGGTGAAGGGAGAAGAGTGAGGGAAAAAGTGAAGGGCAGATCTGGGTAGGTATGCTTTGAACGAGCATTAATGCAAGCCTAATGGTAAATTGCCTTACTAAACGCCCTAGAAGCAACTCTCCTCAGTGTTGAAATGCATCATCATTTTAGTTAAAAGTTAGTTGGGCTTTTAGCCCCACCCAAACACAGAAAAAAACCACACAAACCCCAAATTGACATTTCACAGATTCCTATGCACTTTTTGAGATCCAAACAAAGATCTAAACGAGTCCTTATTAAATTCTAAAATAATAAATAGGTGATTTTGACAGATTTTGACTTGTCAAAATCATTATAAGAGCAGTTAAAACTATCACAAGAGTAGTCAATATTATCTATTTGTCTTTTTTAAATTCAACCAGAATTTTTTAGTCATTCTCCCAATTTATTATTATGCCACGCAGGTTGGAAAAGAAGAGGTGGGTCATTGATATATTATAGACGAGAAAAAAACAGTAGGTAGCAAAAACATCATGGGTAATGAATATACATACGTACGTACGTACATATCTATGAGTGTGTGTGTATATGTATATGCATATAACAAACAACTCTATTGAAGAGATTGATTAATTTGTGAAAAATTTCCTTAACAACATTCTTGTTCTTTTGTTAGGGATGGAATAAAGATGATGTAACTTTTGCTAAGAAGCCCGTAGCACCCGTCACTGAAGTTGTCTTTCCCTTGAGGAACTGTTGTGCACTTTCCAGCTCCATTTTAAAGCTAGAAAGTTCTATTTCTTACTATATTGGGAGAAGCTAAGAAATTAAGTATGATACCTAATTCTAGAGATGGAAGAAGCTGCGGACTATTTATAGCTGGTGTATCTACCCTCACCACTGGACTCGCTGGCGTGACAGGTGGTTCGATTGTATTTAATATGATGATGTTTCCATTGAATGAATCATATAATCATTTTGAAAAAAATCGGTTAAAATTAGCCAATGGATATAATTTTTTCTTAAAAGTTATTATCAACACATTCCAAAACTATCTTAATTAAATGACTACCTTGTATGTCTTAAATGTCAATTTTCCCCCAAAATTACCAATATTCAATGAAAGGCATTACATTGGTATACTTCCTCTATTTGCAAGACATCAGTTTCTTTTGTTTGCCTCATTAATTTATTTTTCCCAAACTACTCTTATTTATTACACAAATTTTTTTTTGAAATAAAATACTAAATAGAATTAATGGGAGGGTAAGTTTTTAGCATATTGATTGCAAATAACTAAAAGGGTTATTATTGTATCAACTAGGAATAGTACTGCTTTATATTAAAGGAATCTTATCTATTCCCTCCATCCTAAATATAAAGTATATTTATTTGAAATTTTTGGTTTATATTAAATAAATACTAGAAGCTTTTTAATTTGGGAGTTATGGGGCACAATGTCATTCAATATGAAATAAAATGTGAAAAATTTCTTTTCTTAGATGTCATACACATCCATGCAAAATTATAATATTCATAACAATTTTTAGTTAATGTCTATAGATAAATATTGTGCCTTATTAAAATCACATTAGGAAAATTTTAATGAGACAAAAATCTAATAAAAAAAATATGCAAGACACATTAACGTTGCCTTTCCTTAAAAAGCTTACCAAGAAATTAAACCTAGTGGAACAAAACCTTCCTTGAGAAAATTAGAGAAGAGTCCAAAATATTGCCTCTAATTCTATTTATAAGTTTCAAATTTAGAAAGCAGAGTTATCTATTTTATAAGTTTCAACTTGACTTTGTCTTAGCATTTAATACATTTTTTCCATTTTCCCTTAATTATTTATTTTCTTTTTTCCAACACATTCTTTTTTTTAATCTTTTTTCTCATTTATTACAAGGGCATATTTGAAAATAAAAATACTCCTCCATCCCTTATTATAAGATCTACTTTTTTAAATTGGTTTGTCCCTATTTATAAAATCTTTTTTGAGTTTATCTAAACAATAAATATATTTTTACTTACTTTATCCTTAATTAACATACTCTCTCTCATTATTTTTTTTCATACATTCTCTCCAATTTTTTTCTTACTTAGACCTACCCACTTATAAATAAGGGTTTTTTTTTTTAAAAAAAAAGTACATTTTCAACATACTTATTATTTTTAACTAATTTTAACAATTTTTTTAAATAACATAACATAGTTAAGTGAATTTTATAATAAGGGACAAAGGGAGTATATTTCTAACCTACTTATTACTTTTAACTAATTTTAATTAATAATTTGTTATCTATAAATTAGTTATTTGAAACTTATAATAAGAATTGGAGGGAGTATTTTTTAGGGAAAATCACTAACAGGTCCCACAGAAGGCAATTTATTACTCTGAGGTCCCACGAAATGTCAAAATCACTGACAGGTCCCAAGGGACCTCAGAGTAATATTTTCGTTTTGTAAAATGACATTACTGCCCCTCATATTTCAGATTCACATTTGCTCTGTCATTACGATTTACAACCTCAGCAGCGACTATTAACAACCTAATGAGAGGGCGTTAACAACCCTAGCAGTATCCGTTAACAACTTACTTTATAGAATTATATAACCTCTACATAAAAGTAAATTATAACCAAATAATATAATACAACAACTTCAACACTAAAATGGGAAGCTTTTTGATATCATTAAGAATTTTAACTAGATCCAATAGGATTATAGTAATATTTTAATGTGAATATCCATTTACAATCTCAACAGCGATTATTAACAACCGAATGAGAGGGCATTAACAACCTAAGCAGTAGCCGTTAACAACTTACTTTATAGAATTATATAACCTCTGCATAAGAGTAAATTATAACCAAATAGTATAATACAACAACTTTAACACTAAAATGGGAAGCTTTTTGATATCATTAAGAATTTTAACTAAATCCAATAGGATTATAGTAATATTTTAATACGAATATCCATTTACAACCTCAATAGCGACTATTAACAACCGAATGAGAAGGCATTAACAACCTAAGCAGTATCCGTTAACAACTTACTTTATAGAATTATATAACCTCCGCGTAAGAGTAAATTATAACCAAATAGTATAATACAACAACTTTAACGTTAAAATGGGAAGCTTTTTGATATCATTAAGAATTTTAACCAAACCCAATAGGATTATAGCAACATTTTAATGCGAACATCCATTTACAACCTCAACAGTAAGTATTAATAACCTAAGGAGAATTGTTAACAACCTTAGCAGTGTCTGTTAACAACTAACTTTATCGGATAATATAACTTCTAACTATAACTAACTAAACTATAACTAAATAGTCTTAAAGTTAATCTTATATAGTTGTTAGAGGTTATATTATCCTATAAAGTTAATTATTAATAGATACTGCCTAGATTGTCAACAGCTCTCTTTGGGTTATTAATACCCACCATTGAGGTTGTAAATGGATCTTCGCATTAAAATGTTGCTATAATCCTATTGGGTTTAGTTAAAATTCTTAATGATATCAAAAAACTTCCCATTTTAGTATTAAAGTTGTTGTATTATACTATTTGGTTATAATTTACTCTTATGCGGAGGTTATATAATTCTATAAAGTAAGTTATTAACGGCTACTGCTTAGGTTGTTAATGCCCTCTCATTCGGTTGTTAATAATCGCTGTTGAGATTGTAAATGGATATTCGCATTAAAATATTACTATAATCCTATTGGATCTAGTTAAAATTCTTAATGATATCAAAAAGCTTCCCATTTTAGTGTTAAAGTTGTTGTATTATATTATTTGGTTATAATTTACTCTTATGTAGAGGTTATATAATTCTATAAAGTAAGTTGTTAACGGATACTGCTAGGGTTGTTAACGCCCTCTCATTAGGTTGTTAATAGTCGCTGCTGAGGTTGTAAATCGTAATGACAGAGCAAATGTGAATCTGGAATATGATGGGCAGTAATGTCATTTTACAAAACGAAAATATTACTCTGAGGTCCCTTGGGACCTGTCAGTGATTTTGACATTTCGTGGGACCTCAGAGTAATAAATTGCCTTCTGTGGGACCTGTTAGTGATTTTCCCTATTTTTTACTCTCCCTTGCCATGTGTTTAGACGGGATAGTTTAATCTACACCTGAGCAGTTGTAGATTAAATGACTGTACGACTTTCTGGCTTAGCCAGAGAAAAGTTGGACAGCGACCTATTTTAAATTGAACTAATTAATTTGTTAATGAGAAATTAATTGGTTGAACTATAGGACTCGTTATTTTTATATGTCCCATGCCTCCTTAATTCATTATCAGTCAGTTCAAATTATATATACTCTCCCCTTACTTTCTTATATGGGACAAATATAATTATTTCTGTTAATATCAAAGAAAATGTGTTAATTTAGTTCTAAGTACCATACTATAGAAAAAGGGCATACTTGATAATCATTTTGTCCTTAACTATTATACAGTTAACGATCCTTGAATGTTCTCAAGCATCATTTGAACTTCTAACCTATGCTTAAACGATTTTTAACTGTAACCTAGTGTTTAGATGTCCACTTCACATGTATGGTTGAATTTTGGATTATGTAAGTGTGATTATATTATTGTATAGTTGGATCGGTTGATGTATTGAGTATTTTGATTTGATTAATATTAATTTTAGTTTAAGTCTTTGACTGTTGAGTTATCTTACTGTTGTGTGATGATTCTATTTTCAGACTTGCTTTGAAATTAATGTTGATGTGATCTTTCATGGTTGAGCTTGTTGGTATTGAGTTGTTGAGTTTGTCTTCACTTAATCAATTCTATTAATTGGACTCACCAACAACTCATTTAATTGAATCTAATCACACAATTTGTATTAATGCCTAAGTTCTGTAATTAGATTATATACCAGAATATATGTTAATGTATATATGAGATTAAATCTTCCAATATTGAGTGTCCTTGCAAAATGAACTAACTGACTCTATTGGTGAATTTGGTTTCATATGTACACTTATTTAATTTGCAACTTTACACCATATTCATATTCTAAAGTACTGATACTTCAAAAAAGTAAACGTACCTGTATATGTATAAGAACTCAATCCACTTTGTCTCCATTATATATTTTTTTTGGGCCTCAAGTAATCCTATGGTGATTGCACATGTTAAGGAGTCCCCATCAATGAGTAGTTCCAATGCATATTATTAATAATGGTATTTTAGAAAACACAACATTCGTTTATTACAAATAATTAATTTAATCAATTTTTTAATATCTATAAATTAATTATCTAACTCTTATATTAAAGACCAGAAATTGTGTGCATTTGTATGTATTTTTGTACTAGTTTTCTAAAATTTTAAAAATTGTTGTATTCATTGTATCATGCTGTATCATATACTCTCTCCGATCATTATTATAAGTTTAAAATTAGTTAAAAGCAATAAATATACTTGAAATATAATTTTGTTTCCAAATATACCCTTATAATAAATGAAAAAGTGAAGATAAAAAGAATGTATGAAAAAATGTTATAAGAGAGTATGACAAAAGGAAGAGAATAAATAGTTAAGAGCAAAATTAGAATTAATATATTAAATGTTTGGACAAACTCTAAATTAAAGCTTATAAAATGGACCACACCCCTCTTCAAATTTGAAGCTTATAAATAAGACAAGAAAGAGTATGGTATAATGCACATTGTCACGAACTTGGTCGTAATTCCAACGAACTGTGCGGCCTAGCAAACCTCTTGCTCTAAGTTGCTAGTCAGCCTACTCATGAAGGAACAA